GGGGACAAAAGACCGGTAGTTTTCAATTCAGGAGAGTAGGATGGGCGAAAAATGAAAAACAATATAAGCAACCCTTTCTGTATTATTATTTGTTGTCAAGGGAAAAGGACAAGTTGTAAAATACATGTTAAAAATAAATTTTTTCTTTAAAAACTAGTTGGCAGACTGCAATCTCTAAGATATCAGAAAAGGACTTGAGACAAATGTGGTGGCAAACAGTGGACATCAGGGCAACACACTGCTCCAAAAAACCAAAATTCTGGAAAAATATCGTTAACACTGGTATTGGTTATTTTTGTATGGTGCAAAAACTTAATTTTCTCCTGTATTTGAATGTCTGCAGACTGTTTTATAATTTAGACTATTAAAGTTAAATATTACTAATTGAAGAAAGCTGTGGAGCTTTGTTTCACTTCTTAAATCGGCTGAGAGGGACTTGAGCATATGAAATGCTGAGGAGAAGAAACGTTGAAGATACATGAGAGAGGACAAGTGATGGAGCAAGGTTCAAGACAGTGACCCTATGACAGAAGGAAGAGGTGGTTGTAGGGGCATGGTGGTTTTGTAGGTGGAGATTCAGGGACTGGGATGAGACAGGATATCTGCAGAAGGAAGAAAGGAGAGAGGTCATAGGGCAGGAGAGGAGTGGTGTCGTGGGTTCAGAAGCTCTATGTAGACAGAGGTCTGCGGAGGCTTAACTCGATGTAGGCTGGAGCTAGGTAGGGGGTGCCTGCTAGTGTGAGCAAGAGAGGAACAGGGTCTTTGTTATGCTTGAAACATTTGATATTGTTTCAGAGGTGAGGGGGCTGCTGACCTTAATTCTTGATGGTGAGGTCAGTAAACAGGGTTGGCCACGTGGCAGTGGCAGTTTCCCCAGAAAAGCTACATTTCCATTGAGACAGGAACAGAACATTAGTAAAGGGAGGTGGACGTTTCAGTTCGGATAGGGTGTTTAGAGGGCAGAGCGCAGAGGTTTAGAGGGAGGGAAGCAGAAAGGGAAAGGTTGGGTCAGGGGAGGGAAATTGGTCATAATGGAGATGAGATTACAGGGAGACTAGTGTGAAGAAGCAGCTATCTTGAGACGGTTTCACAGGGACCACGGATGAATTTCACTTAGAACTGCTTTCGCTATGTCCCACAGATTTTTGTGAGGGCTGTAGCACTGAGCCCTTCAGAGCCTCATCTGTCACCACATTTGTTATTTGCTTTTCCATAGCTCCTTTCCTTTCCAGAGTATCTTCTCTCAGTCTTCATGCCAAGCACTTCGTAGGTGTGTTCCATAATTCCAGCAAGGGTTCTGCTTTCTGATACTTGGCCTAGTTGGCTCTTCTTAGTATAAGGAGTTGGAAGTTTTGAATTCCCCAAAGCTGAGGACTCTGTTTGACTGTTTTTATTGCTCAGAGCTCCTGTTGAGCACCCTCCTGCGTAGGATGCCAGAATTGGAGGCATCGGAGATGATGACGTTGAATTGCCCTGAGGCCTTCACACCAGACGTGAGGTGCATCATGGGCAAGTCTCCTTTGGCTCAGGGCTACTTGGTCCTGGCAGGAATGAACTCTGCTGGCCTTTCATTTGGTGGAGGAGCTAGAAGGTCTTTGTCACTCACACTCAGCTTGCTGGGCTGCTTTCTTTCTAGAATGACTTAACATACTAAATTAAGTGCATTATATACCATATTAATAAGAAGGTACATGTAATTTGAGAGTGTCTCCTTCAAAGTAATCACCATTGGGAGGCTTTCCAAATATCCCTGAAATGTCATTGTGCAAAATGTCTTTGGAACTCCTCTTTTGGAGTTAGCCTTGGAGACTCTGGGATGTTCTCAGTGCTTTTTCAGTTCTAACAAATGTTGGTCAATAATGAAACTGGAAATTAAAGGAGTAGGTTTAGAATATAAAATGAAGTTGTTATAGACATGTTAACTTACCTGTGGATTCCCAGATGTAGTTGCTCAGAGAATAAACAGTCTAAAGTCCCATGACTAAATTTGTGGATGGTAGCTCGGTATAGCAAAGATCACTGGCTGCTTCTCTCACATCTTGTTCTCTCCCACGGGTGTGACCAAGAATGCTCATACTCCTGTTCCCACAGACACTGGCTCACAGGCTTGTCAGGAATAAGTACCAGGTTCTTAATATGAAGTCAGTTGTAAGGCAGGATGTCAAACCCAGTGACAGTAACTTCAGGAGGAACAGAGGCTTCCTCTGACCAGCCAGGCCACCACTAACATCATGCCTGTGTCTACTTTACCTCAGTTTCCACATTCTTTATACTTTGATAACACAGGAATCAACTGTTTCATGTGCAGTGTTTATCTTTTGTGATGGCAAACACATACAGGTGAAGAATATTTCACAAGCAGACATGGTAAGAGTAATTAAAATGTATGTTTATTCATTTACAAACCTAGTAACATGAAAACGAATTGAAATCTGGCGTGATAGAAACATAGTACACAATGTGTAGCCCATGAGAAATGTGTAATTCTCCAAGGACACTGCTCAGAGAAGTCAAGAATCATGTTCATGGAGGGCAGAAATGCTCAGTCACCCTGTGGGCCTAATGTCACCAGGGCTCTTGAGAGAGTATCCCATTTACCTAAGTGCCTTGAATGTCTTCAAGACCACATGCTAATGCTACATAAGGACAGAAAGGGGCTGAACAGAACTGCACATTTACAGATGTGAATAATGAATATAGCACTTTACAATAATTACAGTGATGCTTTGACACATCCCGAGAGTTGACCAGAGAGTAAAGTGTGAACTGTGCTGTTAGAAAACCCCTCACTGAGATGGGCTGCGGCAGCCTTCTACCCCACACCATCTGTTCTGGGGAAGGAGAGGTGAGCAGGTGATGGGAACCCTCAGCCTGAAATGGAGTTACTTTTTCACCCTTCCTCTCTCCACCCATCATGGGACACTGGAGTGTAAGGCACGAGAGCTGGTGTGGAGAAAAGACGTGCTCCAAGCCCCAGTTCTTGGTGTGCAAAGGAATTCCTGGCTTAGATCTTCTGAAACAGATGCTAAAAATGTCCTTCCCACCTCTTGTAATTACTGTCCTTGAGAGACAGAAAAACGAGAAGGCAGAAGGTTTGCAAAGGATAAAAACAGCTGCATCTAAATATGAGAAAAATGGCCCACGAGAATTGTGTAATTCTCCAAGGACACTGCTCAGAGAAGTCAAGAATCATATTATACAAGGAACAGCTCTGATATGTAATGGACAAAGAGAAGGCAAGCACATACAAAAATACTCGGTCCTCTTGGAAAATAGTACATTTGTTAGTGATGAGGGACTGCAAGTGTGAGCCCCATGCTGACAATGAAGGAGCCTTACAACTCAGCACCATAAAGTGGAGGCAGTGGGGAAGGCGCTGACTGGCAGACCAGAGTACTCACAGCTTCCTGTTGGACATCATAGCTAATGCCTAAAACATCTTACTATTTCACCTACCATTGCTTCCACTCGGCTGTGCTTCTCCTGAATCCATGTGCTTGGAAATGATATGTGTGAGATGAAAAGTCTTTCCTGACAAGGAAATTTCCCCTATGTTGTGTTGATAAAATGCTGCTTAGATCAAAGTTTGTGAGGGATTGAGGGAAGGGGGGAGGGTATGGGGGGGGCAGGTTATTTTTCAGTATTAAGCACTGACCAAACCTCCACCTTAGATACTAATGAGGATCCTTGCTGACTACACTCCTCAAGATGCAACAAACAGATAAAAAAAAAAAAAAA